TGAACTTGTTGGGGACATGAGTGTTTGGCTCGGAAGCCGAATTGATGGGGAATGATAAGAGGGTCGCCGTCTGTGGGAAACAGATAGCGCCTCATACGACTTTGGATGACTCTTTCGAAGAGCTTGCCCATTGCCTTGAGGAGGCTAATGGGGCGATGGCTGGAGGGGGAGGTTGAGAGGCTTCCCTGGCTTGGGAATTCCAATCACAGTAGCCTCTTTCCACGTAGTGGGAAAATAACTAAGGTTGAAGCAGGCGTTGAAGATAATAGATAAAAAGGTTAACACCTGCTCGGGAAAGTGTTTTAGGGCTTGGTTGGAGATGCCATCCGCGCCCGGAGCCTTTTTTAGGCTTAAGTCCTTTGATGAGGGATGAGATCTCATCATTGGACACAGAGATAGGTTCGGAGGCCGTGGGGGGTGAGTTCCGGCGGCGGACCTCATCCTCCACTGCCTGGACGTGTGAGGGGTCGACGGGTTGAGAACTGGGAGAGCATTGAGCGGCAATGCTATCTGCAAAGCACTCAGCCTTTTCCTCGTCCTCGAAGGCAACCGTGCCGTCGGGACGGGAGAGAGGGGGAGTGTGGGTGATAGCGTCTATGCGGAGGGCTCTAGCCATCTGATAGTACGCTGTGTGAGATGGAGAGATATTCTCCATGAGCTTACTCTTTTCGAGGTCTCGAAATACAGAGAGGCGGAAGCGGAGTTCTCGTTGAAGACGATTGGCCGCGCGCCTATATTCGGGGGGTGGGATATTTTGCTGCTCTCCGGAAAGCAGCTTTTTCGGCTTTTAATAGGTTGCTAATATGTAGGGGAAGCCCACTATTGTTAGCAACCGGGACGACCCTTTCGTTCTCCTTAAGGGAGGATTTAATAAGGGTGGAGAGTGAGTCGACTGCGGTGTCGATTTTTTCGGGACTATCTAAGTCCGACGGTAGGGAGATGGTAGAATCCTGTGAGTCCAAAGCTTTAGCTAGGGACTCCTTGAATCCCCCTCCAGTTAGTGAAGGTTCGAAGTATCAATTTAGCTTGTAACTTAAATAGTACAGAAAAAACTTGAAAAAAGGGGGCCAGGTAGACAAGTTCCGAGTAGCAATGTTTTGGGTAATCCCAAACAATCGCTTCTCGGAACCTTATCAACAGCTGCAATTGTTTGGGATGTGGACCACATTTGCATAATGCATTTTATGGTTCATTTGATAGGTAGGTTATGACCACAACTATCACGCCTTGGCGGGAATACGTCGAGTTACATACGTACATTCTAAGTCTATGGCCCAGTCCGAAGAACAGGGCGTGAATTTATATTAAAATAAGTAGTTCCTATTTTCCTACTATGGAAAACAGTGCAAACAAAATGTTAACTTTTTAGCTCCTCTTTGTAAACAGGGCGCGAAGATATACAAAGAACTCAAGAGCAACTTCAACAAAATAAAAATAACAAACAAATATTATCTGCTTACCCCGTTTGATAATCAGGTATAATATAATAATACTAATGCGAGTATATAAAAGTAAACATAGATAACTAATATCTTTCATAAATAAGTTACTAAAGTGTTTTTAAAATGAGTACCGAGTTCGTCTATCGCACATTTCCGATAATGACAGAGTGAGATGTGTCATTGTTAGGGCTGGGGCCAACGGTTTTGTTCTTATTTTGAAATTGTAAATGCTCTATAAATATTGAATACTTCTAAAATTTACTGTAGGGAAAATTTAATTATTTTTATATATAAATAATGTCATAAATAAATAATAATAAAACCATATTGGATATAGTATAACTTCATTATGCACAAGAACGACCTTAGTCATTCAATAATGTCTTGTTTACGTGATGAAGTTGTAGCTACTTTGTCAAGTTTTCGGGAATGGTACGACGTATTATCTAAAACAATAACTGCATTCTCATCCAATTTAGGTAAAACGTCGTGGAACCAAGCTTCAAACCTTTTTGACGTCCATATCTTAGTAGTCACCGGTTTTATTATATTCAAAATATTTCAATTCTGCTACAAATCCTACAAATTAATACAGCCTATACGTACTATTATAAGCCGCTCGCCTTTTCCTGCAATAATATTAATAAATCATCCATCAGTGAAATAACGTGTATTTTTAATAGGATATGTGAAGATTTATTTATAAAAAAAGAAAATACAAAATTAAACACAATATAGTAACAGACAGATTTTTCAATCCTGTTGATAGCCCATCTAAGAATGCGTATCTCGATGATGTCACTGTATTGTCAAACCAGTCTTTTTGTTTTGTATGACCGGCATTCACTCACGTCTCATCTAAATAATATAGTAGTTCCGTTTTGTCTGGCTGCCTTTACTTCGTCTAAATATTTTCGTCGCCATAAAACTATTTCCGGTCTTTCTACTAAAATACTGTTTCTACCTCTTTTATTATAGGCAGTGGCGACCCTAGGGCGGTGCGAGTGGTGCAACCGAACCGGGCGTCGTCATCGGTGGGGCGCTGAAATCAACCGAAACGCTACCACCGGGCACCGGTCACCAATTCACTCACTCTTATCACTAACATCCCGTTTTGTTGTCGCTTATTAGGAAGTCAAGCACGAGTATTTTGTTGCTTACAAGCCAGTTAGTGACTCTTCGGAAAAAGGACTTACTGGCCTATTTCTTGATGCAATTGTACAAGTGTTTGACTTAGACATAAATGATTGTCGAGGTCAAGCATACAGTAATGGTGCGAACATGGCAGGAAAATTAAAGGTGTTAAAAAACCACAGACCCACAGCATATACCGGTGCTCTATTTTTCGACGTGGCAAAAGTCTGGCCCAATGGACTGGTTTTATAAACTTATCCATTTTGGAATGCCTATAAGACTTGTCAAACTTATCCAAGACTTTTTGATCATTTCGTTTCCAGGTGGAGGGGACTTTCTTCTCTCCGATACCTATCAGAGCAGGAGTTCGCCAGGGATCTGTGTTCTCCCCAACTCTGTACTCGCTCTATGTGAGCGATATCCCCAAATTGCCAGACATTCATCTCACACTTTATGCGGATAACACAATGATAGATACGACGATATGCTCCTCAGATCACAACCCACGCAGGCTATTTGTTCGTCTCCAAGCTGCAGCAAACACATTAGGCGATTGGTGCGGAAAATGGGGAATTGAACTCAATCCTGATAAAAGCAAAGCGATCATGTTCAACAAGCAAGCTTGCTATGGATGGATAATCAATAAGAATGGAAAGTGCACACTCTCCCTCTATGATAGCCCTATTCCCTTGGTTAGAGAGGTGAAATACCTGGGGGTAACAGCATGCGACGAGGTTCTCTTATACCATAAAAGCAGTCGTAAAGTCGCAGGCGAAATTTGTAGTGTATCGTCTCTTCGCCGTAACAAACAAGCGCAGCAAGCTGTTCTTAAGACACAAGCTGCATCTCTATAAAAGCTGTGTACGTCCAATTATGACTTACGCAGGTGTATCATTTGCCCATGTCCAGCCTTACCTAATTCGATGACTTCCAGTTGTTCAAAACAAGTTCCTGTGTCGTATCACAGGAGCTCCATTATATGTGAGGAACGTAAATCTTTACCGTGACCTCAAAATTGTCACCATTTTTTCATATCTTAAGGAATTATCCCTAAGATACTTCGATTTGATCAAAGAGCACCAAAATTCGTTGGTGGTGGAGGCGGTTTCGTACCCCCCAGAGAGGGATGTTGCCCCTACCAAGAGACGTCCCAAGAACGTTCCGCTCGACCCCGATCAGAACGTATCACTTCCGATTTTATGACGAGGTCTTTCCATGAACAGATCGATCTCGTCCCCCACCCCCCTCCATTGATGAGGGAATTCGTTTAGACACTATACATGTACACATTCATACAATACACTAGCACAGAACACTAGGGCACACTGCACCCGCCAGCGAGCGCGAGGTTCATACGCACACGCCGTACACGAGGTTTAACAACGGCGATACGGGGCCTTATTATTGAATTATTACTGATTACCGATACGATACCTAGTGGTTCAAGCCGAGGTTTGTACCTTCTTCAGAGGGGCTCTTGAATCACATCAAGCCCCTCCTAGCTGGATGAGCCTTACTCCAAAAGCAGGGACCGGAGTGCCTCGGGACTGAAGTCGGCGTAGTGGCGCTTTGCGCCACCTCGCCCACTATTACTATATCAATCACGGATCAATATTCCTGCTTAAAAAGTAAGATTACAAATTTACAAAAAAAAATTTGCTCATAAACTAAGTATATATTTCTACAAGGGGGAAAGGGTATAGCGGCTTCTCCCGTACCTAGCCTCTGCCCCCCCCCCTTCCCACCCCGTTACGCAAGTGCCGAATGTCTATAGTTTTAGTTTTACCCCACATTAAAAACTACTACTAAATGGCACCGTGCAAAATATAGTGTATGTTTTTTCATGTCATTAGCGTCATACTATTCGATATTCACTTTCATATTTTTCAGTCGATCCACAAAGTACAAGAATCACGAAACACAAACAGTCGGTGCTGCGTCTTGTACGGATCGAGTCGTTTTTGTGGTTTAATCAGTGTTGCCAACTGCACCGTAATTACGGTAAAAACACCGTAATCAGCATAGATCTACCACCTACCGTAGGATTATAATTACGGTAGCAAAATACACCGTAATACCCAATGAAGATCGTATCTAAATATGATTATCTATAAACTAAAATAATTTTAGCGAGTTTGATTGTTTACTTTCTTTACGTTACAGTATTTTCCTTTTATTCTACCGACAACACTGTTTTATGCGTCGGGAAATCCCCCAATAGCGTGGTACCAGCTTGGAGATATTATGCGAACGAATTCGGGGGTGCTGTATGTATTTGAATTTCAATGAATACTTAGAGCTTTTTAATTTTCCTAGTTTATTTGTATCATAAACGAGATACGACTAACATTTCATTAATACTTAAAATTACGTAAGAGTTTGTTGTGTTGTGTTGTGTTGTGTGTGATCTGAGTGTTTAAAAATATGGAGAGTGATGGCGACAGCGCTACTGATCGAGAAGATAGCTTAACACGAGTACCGGCTAAGAGAAAGCGTTATAAGCAGAAGTTTCGGAAAGAATGGTTGCTGAATAAAGAATATAGTGACTGGCTAAGAAAGGATAATAGGGACTTATCGAAGGCGGTCTGCAATGTTTGCAATACATCTTTCAGTGCCGAAATAAGTGTAATAAAACGCCACAAAGAAGGAACTAAACACGTGAATAATTTAAAGAGGTGTAGTGCTTCAACGTCCAAAAAACAACAGTCTATAGTAAGCGTTTTTAAATCCATGCCAACTAATGAAAAGCAATTGGTAAAGACTTCAGAAATAAAATTAGCTGCTTTTGTTGCTGAGCATAAGGTATCTCATAATGTCATGAATCACTTAGCAGATTTGTTACCAAAGTTGTTCCCAGATTCTCAGATAGCCAAAGATATTAGATTAAAAAGAACTAAAGTTCAAGCTGTGATAAATAACTGTATTGGGGAAACTGAAAAAAGAAAACTTGATCAGTGACTTGAAATCACAAATGTTTTCAATTTTGATAGACGAAAGCACAGATATTGCTGTAGTAAAAACAGTAGCTGTAGTGGTCAGGTATTTTGATCCAATGATTGGTAAAGTTATCACTCGGTTTTGGAATTTGATTCAATTATTTGATGAGAAAACCACCGATCATGTTGCAAATGCCGAAAAACTTTTTAATACTGTTATAGGTTCATTTCAAAAGTATGAGATTCCTACGGAAAACATCATAGGTTTCGGCTCTGATGGATGCAACACAATGATGGGATGTAACAATTCAGTTTCAAGTCGATTTCGTCAACGTTGTCCAGGCATAATTGTGATCAAATGCATTTGTCATTCTCTGCATCTTTGCGCTAGTGACGCATGTAAAGAGCTTCCACTAAATTGTGAAAAAATGGCGCGAAATATTTATAATTATTTTAAATCCAGTAGTAAAAGGCAGAGTGAGTTGAAAGAGTTCCAGTATTTTGCTGAGGCGGATGTGCACAAAATTCTAAGACCAGCCCAGACTAGATGGTTGTCTTTAAATGCAGTAGTGCAAAGGATTCTGGAACAATGGGATGTATTACGTCTTTATTTCAATAGCAAATGGCTGGAAGAATCGGAGTGCCACGATATTCATGCATGCCTGAATGATCCCATAATCAAGGCTTATTACTATTTTTTGGCTTGGATGTTGCCAAAATTTACAACATTAAATAGCTGTTTTCAGAGCGAATCTATTTTAATTACGAAACTACATGGGAAAATGACAGCTTTTTATAAAGAACTGTTACTATTGGTTTTACACAGAAATTATGTAAATTCCGCTCCTATTGAAACTATAGATCCAATGACAGAAATAAATCACAAGGACCTAAAAGACATATATCTAGGTTTAGGTGTCCAGAAAGAACTAGATTCTGTTGAAAATGAAGAAAGAAAGTTAACTCTCAGAAAGATGTGTAAAAATTTTATTATTAGAGCTTGTGTGGGCCTTCGTAAACGATACTGTTTTAATGACAAAATTATGACAGAAATAGCAAAATTTGATCTAGAGAAAGTAATTTCTGATGACAGGGAAGAGTCAGTTTCGTCGTTATTTCCATTACTGCCCAGAATTGCCCCAACTTCAATCCAACATCAACAAGAACTAGATGATGAGTGGCGGAAGTTGCCGTTATACTACAAAGATTTGGATTTAAGTCAACCCCCTGACGTATTTTGGCACCAGGTAAGTTTCCATGTAAACTCGAAGCAACGTGAATTCGTATTGGTTTCTATTGTTATAGCAGCCTAATCATTTTTTTTTCAGGTCGCAGAACTGCGTGACCAACATCGAGAAGGGAATACCTATTTCCAACACTTGCCAAAATTTATGTTGGCCATTTTGTCTCTGCCACACTCGAATGCTGAGTGCGAAAGAGTCTTCAGCAGAGTTAACGATATAAAAACAAAAAAACGGAATAAACTCCTAACGAAATCCATCAAGGGAAATCTCTTATCGCAGCAAGCCATACAGCGTCACGGAAAAAACTGTGTTGATTTTAATCCCACTCACGCTATGATCGCAAAACATAACAATGATATGTATAAAAATATTGAAACAATTATACTGTCCGATTCTGATTAAAAATATGTTTTTTTTTTTTAACTCTGACCCATAACATGCTACTAAATAAACAAGGTAATTCTACCGTATTTCAAATATATATTACAACATAATTTCGAAAATTCTACCGTATTTTTAGAAGAATTCTACCGTCCGCTAGATTTCAGACTTGGCAACACTGGGTTTAATGCGGTGTAGTATTTGCATTACTCTCTACCGAGACGGAGTATTTTCTACTGTGCGTGCGGTGTTCAAATAATTCGCTTTAAGAAATTTGAGCAAAAAGGTATGTTTTTTAATAAGAAAAACGTTAAGTTTTACTGTCGCATAAACCAGACTTTCCACACTAAAAGCCTTTTTATTTACATCGATTAAAAACCGTAATTTTTTCACATTCCCATCTGTTAAATGCAATTTATATCAATTTTAATATACAAAAGCGTTATTAAGTTAGTAAAATGTAAGTTAATGAAATAATTTTCTTTCACTTCTTCACGGCTGTTATTTATTATGTAAATTGTTTTTCCTTTTAAAAAATACGGAAATGGTTTAATTTTGGTTAAAAATTTCCGCTCAATGTCACGCCACGCCTTTAAACAAATACCTATAAGATTTTAAGTAAAAACACCTTTTTACACGTTGAGAACTTTAACCTCACCTGTTGACGTAATTTTTTAGGTTTTGCAGAAACATAAGATCATCGTTATCTCGTTGACTTGTTGTATTATCAAATACTATATTAACTTTTCAGTTAAGATACGTTACTTATATAAAATACTGTGATAACTAAAAACAATGCAAACAAACAAACGAAAATAATAAACCTAATTTAAAAAATTACATACATTTTATCAGGCCTCGTCTTTACATAACATATACAATATGAAACTTAATTAACGCACACCCTCAGATACCCCAATTAGTATAAGATGTTATAATCATAATACATACACTGAATTTTAGTAAAACATTTTTATGCACTGATTATTTATCAAATTAGTTATACTAATTCCGGAGGAATGTGGTCACAGTACAAATCCACGAACGGAAAGACTTTAACATCCTCGAAATAAAGTTCATTTTTCTTTATTTTTATTGAATGACAGAATTAGTAATAATACAAATAAAACTGCACTCTTAAAAGTCTTATTGCCTTAAGTTACGGTCCATTTCAGTTTGTTTTGACTGTACAGATTAAGTGTGACTGTAATTTACGTAGTTTTAATTATTTTTGGGATAAAAAAATTACCTATATTAAAAATGTTAGGAATCGATTCAGTAAACGATTCTGAACAAACTACTTTCTCAAAGTGCGTTAATTATGTTACATATTGTATACCTACCTACACCACTTAGTATAGAACTGTAGCTTGTTATGATTAAATCATATTTGTTAGTATGATTTATTAAGTAGATATTAAAAAATACGAAGTGAACGTTGCTGGTAGCTGTTTTAATTACCACAATTTATAAATTCAAAAGAAATGCCCTTCATTTGACATCAAGGCTTTTAATAACATGATTACCTGGGAGCTGTTCGTTAGCTGTTTGCGTCAAATAAACACATTTAAAATAAGAATTCAAGATGTTTGCTCAGTCGTTCACATTGTTTTTTATAAAAGCCCTAAGCATGAACAAACATTTTATCCCCCTTTACACAATCTTTTAATTATTTAAATCACTTAGAATAATAATAATTAAAATATAGTGCTAAAAAAATTGTGGATAATTCTAAGATCAAGATAATTTCATTTGCCTTTGGAACTTTCCTACCTGAACGCCAGCTTGTGTTGACTCACAAAACCCGTTTGTATGTAGGTAAATAAATCTATAACCGTGGGTAGTTAGTTTGACCAGTTAATTTTGGAAAATTATATTCTAAAGTTTCTTAGAGAAAATTGTATCACCTTTCTTAAAATAACAAGATAAAACTTAAAACAAGTTTTATCGTTCATTTACTACTAAAAGTGGATGGTGGACTTTTTATGCCGTTATTAAACAGATAAACTCATATTTTTATGTACCATCTATTAGAAATTTTAAAATAAAATATAATAGAAATTATTCACACTAAGCCTTTTGAGATATCATACTTGGACTGTGTTTAGCGGCAAAACAAAGTTACAAAGTCACGAGCATAACTTACTATTGATGAAAACGTCAATCTCAGACAAAATAAAATATTTTGTCTGAGACGTCAATGTGCCTTAGGCCTCAGCCTTAAACAAAGTAGCTCATGCTTGGAAAGCGTGACCAAAGTATGGCTTATGAAGCACCTAATCTCACTGGTTAATTGGCATGGTAACAAACACCTTTAAATTTGAATGAAATATAATATAAATGAAAAAAGTCAACTTAATCCCACTATTTATAATGACGTTTTTTATGAAAGTTTCTACAGAAGTAAGTTATCGACACTCGTCATACGAAATAAAGCGGCTGCTATTGTACACTGGAATTTCGAGAGCGTAGTCAATTACCGGTCGAGTCGACCCATTCGTGCCGCAAACAATATAGCTGCAAGGTGGCTTTACCACGTTAAAAATGTAGATTATGCACATATTTATTTGCAATAAATATACACATATTTTTAGATAGAGTAAAATAATTGTAGCATGTTTGATAATTAAATACGTATTGCTTAGTAAAAGAGCGTTTTTTTTTTACTGGAAGCTGGTTGATATTCTGCATTGCACAGACAAATTAGTAATAATGGAACTAGTCAACAAAGACTTACTATATAATAATAATATATATAGTAAGTACTATATAATAATAATATAATAATTATCTGTGTCGTAATTGACAGATTTATATAATTTGTTAGCATTGCTAAGGATGGAATTACAAATTATATGTATATTTTTAAATATTAGTAATCTTACTAATTAAAATTACTAATATTCGCATTAACCACTCCTGGTAAGCTTGAGACGCTTGTGTTAGGAGTGGTTCACGACGGTAGTCAAATGGCGGATTCGCACCCATGACCTTTTGAGTTATCGAACCGCGCCCTGCCATTAGGCTACTGTCGCTTGATATATTATACGGCTCACATAGCAATTGATCTGTGTCAACATAAAGTATCACGGTGTTTTAAACTAGGCCCACATGAGCCAAGACCCGTAGAAGTGTGGTAAACAGCAAGAACCGAATATAAATCATACCTGTTCTTAATGCTTCCTAAAGATACACTTGGGTTTGATACACTTAAACATACTCATTTCTAACAGTTTTAAGGCGGACCTCACATGCCTTTCAAATACATATATTCTTTATTTCTCCGACATGCTGGTTTCCTTGCATTACGTTTTCTTTCACCGCTGAGCACGTGGTAAATCGGCACTTAAATTGTAATTAACAGTTTAAATTGGTGCCGGCGGGGATCGAACCCGGGTTGTTCGACTCTTAGAAAACCCTCTTAGAAACGAGTGGAGGCCTATTCCCTATATATATATATATATATATATATATATATATATATATATATATATATATATATTGTAATTTTATAAGTATGTATATAAGTATGTATATAATTACTTTGTATACATACTTATTAATTTGTTGATAAATACGTTGTTCGAACTCTCCACGCTCTTACAGAATACTATTGTCAAATAGCAGTTGCGTTTCGTATGGCGAGTGTACCGGAGAACCTTTTTACTCGAAGCGAGGCAATTCATGTTAGTCCTCAGGGGTGGCAACGCATCTGCATTTTGATTCTTAATCGAGTATATATGTAGATGTGTATGGGCCACAGAATCTACTTACCATCAGGTGGACTGTGTGCTTGTTTGTCACCCTTATTCTATTAAATAAATACAAAATGTGCAAGCAATATGATGTATGTAATAGGTACAAATAATACCCGTATTTATTTTAAAGGATGTGTAGTCACCCTACACCGCTCACTTATCTACGTGACACGGTTTTCAATAGCAAGCGGTTTTACTCTATGGCAGCTCAACGGTAAACGTTTCCATCTATTCTATTTAAACAGCTAATGGTACCTACTACAAGTAAAACGACTGTAACTATCATTAATTTTTATTCCATCCACAAAAATATTTTGTACAAATGACCATAATATCATGTACATGAAATTTCTCTTAAAAGGAAAAATTGTGATTACTGACAAGATCACATAACATTATTTACTCTCTTCTGAGAGGACAAGACCAAGTGCTGTTACAATTAGATAAAAATTACATTGCGCATATTTACAAGGAGACATCTTTAACTTAAGTGCAAGTTGAAAAATTTAGAATCCTCAACTTACGAGTAGGTGTAGTGTGCAACGTTTACTTAGGTATAAGCTTTTTGTTCTGTATTGTGGAACCTTTAATAATAACTGCACCAGGACAACACCAAAATCCATTAATGGTCGCAAGGATTATTTCTAGGCCAAACAATATCTCGATCCTCAGATTAATGCGCATTACCCGTAGATGTGCAACCAAATAGCCAGCCTACTCTATTAGCAGCCTCAGGGCCCTAGGGGTCACACAAGTAACAAGTACCCCGTATCATATTATTAACTACTAGCAAAAGTACAACTCAATGTGGACAAACTTGTTAATAACGTAGAATGTTCAAGAGCACTGCGGTGTTAGCTAACTTTAAAAACCATAAAATTGAGTGAAATCATCTTTTATGGCTTTCTGTTAGTTTTAACGACTGTAGAAAATTAACTTGGCTATTTCCGTAGTTCTGCTTATATTCTATTTCTTAGGTATAATATAAAGGTTTAAAAGAGAGTAAATAGAAATTATGTCAAATATGTCACTAACTCGCGCCAACTTCACCTAAGCTGGGGACTACACTGGATGTAAACTGGAAACGGTTATTGGAACATTGAAGTAGTAATATGTACTACATACTAAAAGAGACGAGAGCCCAAACTTACTTTGTACCACAAACAGGGACTCTGTGGCTCCTTCTACGCGCCACGTACTGCACACATATTTTGCCCGCGGTGTTTGTTCTGTGGAATGTAATTATCAGTGCTGACTTGTAACGGGCAGCAACATAACTCACTGACCAACTTCAGCGTGGTAAATATTATCAAACATTCCAACTATGTCACTTCATGTATATTTTGAAATACCTATATCCAGCAGTAGCTAAAGACTAGCTTTTTTTTCGTGGTATTGTCACGCTATAGCTGACCTGAGCTGAGCTGTTGTCGTCTGCATGGGCTTTCTGCCCAGCAGGTATCGGGCCTCGGGCTATACCCCCTTTACCCGGACATTCCTCACGGCACACTACAATGTGCCGGTCCTG